AGGAATAAAGCCAGTTCTTTCAGAGCTCAGACTTCCAGACAGGTCTGAGTTGCCTAAGAAAGTTCTAAGTTTGTTTACAATAGTTATCCAGCAGATACACGGACCTCCTTTCTAAAAAGTCAGGACAGTAATATTTCAACTGCTTGTGTACTCTGCTCTAGCAATTATCAAAATGAATCCATCACACCCCACATCCAATCTTCATAACAACAGCCAAGTCCCCCAGATCATAAGTCATCACCCAGCACTCATCCCCATAATATTCTGTACATCTACCTCCTAGTTCAGTGGCTCTCAAACTTTTCCGACTTCAGCTAAGAGAAGAAATACATACTTTACATCATGACTCGGTATACACAAGGGTATACAGTATCACAAAAGTCATCTAAAATACTTACCCTTACTAATAGGGGTGTGTGCGCTATTTTCTAACCTATTGTATTTCATATCTTAAATATTCTAGTCTTGAACAATTACACTGATTCAATGATCCGAAGTTTGAAAACCAATCCCCTAATCTTACCCATCCCCACCCCGTCCTTACACTGCATGCTCTTGAATGACTGGGCAGCAGGCCCTCCTATAACCTCAATATTTTCTCTAAACATTCTCTCCAGTTTCTGCACTTAACTGAAACTTGGCTGCCCCTCAAAGATCCTATCTCCCCTAAAGTTCTCTCAAATAAAGGCTTTTCTTCTTTTTTGGGGGGGGCGGGGACTGTGATCTTTATTTGTGAAGTCAGCTAATTCCAGGTGGTTAATATTAGAATTATATTGCAGTATATGTACACACAAAGGTTGTTTTAGGAATGAAATACAATCAAATATATATGCATTATCTTAATCACTATGCTGTACACCAGAGACTAACATAACATTGTAAACTGACCATACTTCAATAAAAGATAAATAATTAAAAATTTTTTAATTAAAAAACTTCTATCCCAGAGCTCTTCTCACAAATACACTCTCTCTCACTTAAAGCAACCATTTTAAATTCAGATCAACAATAATTCGTGGGTCTGCCCTTCCGACCGAAGAGGACATCCCTAGTTTGTCTTCTGCAGACATTTGCTCTAACTTGTTCCCCTTGGGAGCAATGGCACAGAAGCACGAAGACCCTGAGCGGCTCTGAGGGTTTCTTCTTTTTCTCTTACCACTACCTAAGGACCAAGAAGTGGTACAGCTTCCCTTCTCTCTCCCCGTTTCTCTCAACTCATTTTCCCATTTTTGCTCCTTCAGAAACACGAGCTCCTCTGAAGCTCACAGTCCTCTGACTGTGCTCCTCCACCCTTCCTCCCTGCTTTCCCCTTCATTCATGAAAGACTTCAGTTTCTGTTTTGTATCTTCCTCCCCATGTCAGCTCTTGTCCTCATTCTTAGGGGCCTCAATACCCATGTGGATAATTCACCCACATCCTGAGTCTTCTGATCCACTCTTCCACCCAATCTCACCCACCTAAAATAGGCACAGGCTTGTCAACACCAGTAACTGCACCATCTCCAGTATCTCCATCAAGCATCTAACTCCCCAACTGCTACTTCTTATCCTTGCAACTCACTTAGGACTGCATTCTTTGAAGCCATTGGTATCTCCTATCCACTGAATGACCTATTTTCTTACTCTTCCATAACCTCTTTCACATTCCTCCCTACCCAGTAGACTCCATGATCCACATCATTGTTAGTACACTGCAGATGTATTAATTAATTAAACCTCTGTGGTTTTTCCACTTGTGTTATAGACTCCTTTCTTCTTAACCTTTCCAAAGCCTTTAAGATGGGAGAGTAACCAAATAGGCAGCCCTCTCATCCACCGTCTAGTGATTCTCCTCCTTAGCCAAGAAAATTTATTGAAAGAATTGTCCATGCTGACCAATTTCAACTCTCATTCACTTTCAGCCCAATCCAGTCTGGCTTCTCTTCCCAGTGAGACTACTGTTATCAAGGTTATTAATAACCATCATGCTGCCAAACTCAATGGAAACTCCTGTCTTCCTGCATCCACCTTTCAGCAGCAATCAAAGTTAACAGACCACGCTCCTTGTTGAAACATTGTCCTCTCCCATGTCTCTACTACCTTACCAGCAATCATGTCACAATCCACTTTGCTGATTCCTTCTACTCTAAGCAAATTCTAATTATTGGATTTTCTCAGAGCTTGGTTCCAAATCTATCTATCAATCATCTCCAGTCCCATTACTTGGAATACTACCTAGGTGCTAATGACTTTCCAGCTCAAACCTCTCCACCAGTATACCAGTTGCACACATGATCTCTCCGTTTGGATGTTTGACAAGTATCTCACACTCAAAGCTGAATTTACTGTATTCAAAGCTGAGTTTACTTTATTCACCCATATAAATTCTTCCCCAAGGCAATCTCAGTAAATGGCAATCAAATCTACCTAGTCACTCAGTCTAACTAAAATCTAAGGGCTCACACTTGAGTCTTCTCTGTCATCTTCTACACTCAACTCATTGGTAATTTCTGTCAATTCTATATTCAAATCAGAACTAGGATCTATTCACTTCTATTACCACATATGTATAGTTATTAATTACCCACAAGTACATTTTCTGCTTTATAGAGATATTCAATGTTCATGTTACTCCAAAAGAGAGCTTACTTTAAAAAAAAATGAAAAACTCTATTTTCTGACTACTTAACTAAAATAAAATCAGAGGCACAAATAAGACCACGCCCAGAAAAATTCAGATAGAGTTTCAGAAAACAATGATAATAAAAGACATTTCCAAAACAATGTATGGTATATTAATTTATTCAATAAACATATATAACCACTATAAAGTTCTAGAATGAGGTGAATAATAAACCAATAAACACGAAGCAAATGTTTATTAAGTACCTACCGTGCGCTAGGGTTTGGACTATACATAAAAAAAACTAAACAAAACAAGACACAGGCCCTGCCCTCGTGGAGCTCACAGTCTAGCTGAAGCAGACAAACAATCACAAATACAACGGCAAAGCACCAGGGAGGCACTGCAGGAAAAGGGACCGGTTCTGCCTGGAGAATGCAGAGCAGGCTTCACAGACATGGAGACAATGGAGCTGGGCCTTGGATGAGTAGCGGTTCACCAGATGGAGGGGAAGGGGGAAGCACATTCCAAGCAGAGGAAACAGCACATGAGCAAGCAGAATCTTGAAAGCACATGCCACGGTGCAGGATGGCGAGCGGTCCAGCGCAGCTAGAGCAGAAAGGTGCATACAAACTAAAGAAACGAGTTAGTTTCAGGTTTTTAGTGAATCGTAACTGTCAGGAAGTACATCTTCCTATTTCATGTAGTGCAGCTTAACTATGATTCTGGTAACAATAGGGTAGTTTGAAAGCATTCCATTCATTTCATAAATATTTAAGCTCCTTCAAAAGACACCCAGCACTGTTTAGAGCGTTTAAAAGGCAGTTTTAGAAAAATAATCTTAATTTTCCTCTGCACATTTAAGAAGTATAATAAACCCAGAATAAAGACTTTAAGGTGAAATCACACAGCTTCAGCTGTACACACTCAAGGCCCTAACTGTGCTAACTTGAGCACCCCAACTCCTCCCACTGCCTCGTGTCCTTAACAGCTTCATAGCCATCACCCCAAAGCAACACCACAGATAAGCAATACAGAGGCACCTTCAGCCTTCCCCTCCTGCTCCGCCTCTCCAAACAAGGTACCTGCGATGCCCCTGTGGAAACCATGCCAGGTAACTACACAGTACGTGAGGGAACAGTGCATTCCTACCTCCACACCACTTCCTGGAAACCAAGCTATTGTAAACTAACTGGGAAGCTAGATTCCGAACAAAGAGGGATATGAAGCAGAGACCCCACGTTCTCCAGGAGAAGTGAAAGGGGAGGAGAGCTCGGGTCAGACAGCGCCCTCACTGCTCACGGAGGCGGCCTGGTGCTTAGGAAGCTACAACGGAAAAAGGAAAAGAACCTGCAGGTGATGTCATACAAATCCCTGTTTACTCCTCCCAACACTGCTAGAGGAAAGACTTTATTGTCTTAATTTTACAAATGGGAAATCTGAGGCCATCGGAGGCTGATGAAGTAGCCCATGCCCACACGGGCGCCTCAGCGGTGGAGCCAGCACGCAGGCCCCGCCGCCGCCCCGCACGCTGCCTCGGGGCGCCGCAGGCGGACGCGCGCTGCCAAGGGGCTCGCACAGTCCCGTCAGTCCAATCTCTGGAAAGAAAAGCCTTTACTTTTCCCTCCGCCATTTCACACAGTCAGTGAGAGAGAATGGTGGTGGCAACACGCATACCCATCTATCTCTGAAATTTAGGGAGAAAAAAATGGTTCTATAAGATCAGCTGTTTTAGAGGGGAGAGAAGGGCTTTTTCTGTAGCGGTACTGGGTGCTTTAATACAATTACGTTAGCGTCATAATTCAAGTGCTGCTTGTTTAAATTCCTGTACAATAACCAACCAAGCAGCTCCGTAAAAGAGCTAATGACAAAATCTCCAATCACAGTATTAGAATGAGAGTATTATTCCTAAAGTCACTGTCCTCAACACCATCCAAAAGCCAAAATAAAAACTGCTCTTTCTCAAAGCTTACTCTTGAAAATGAGCAGGTAGTATAAACTATGTGGTAAGTAAGGATACCTGCCACAATAAAATTTTGCCTCTTTCTGGGCAATAGGAACTATTTTAAGGGAAAAAAAAAAGAAAGGGGGAGACAATTAACATCAACAAAGAAGTATTTTGTAAATAGTCCCAAAGGGTCAAATGTGTGATGTATTCTGGCATAGGAAGATACTGACATGCTGTTTTCAGCTGTGCACAACTTACATAGGCTCTCTCTGTAAGCACTGCCAACTACCAGAAAATTAATCAGATTTGTAAGTCAAAATGCTCTGTAGTAGTAGCAGAAAAAAAAAAAAAACTGGGATATTCAGACAACCCAAATTCCAGTGACACAGTACAATGTAAGATACTTCGGGAGAGCTTCTGAAATAGCACTCATATAAATAAATTAACCAACCTTATTTTGATTGAGAGGATCATTCCGCAGTCTCTGTTTGTTCTTCTGTAATTTACTAGGCATCATCTTTCCAGTTCTGAAGTCAAAACTGCTGAGGTCAACAGTATTTCCCAGGTACCTTGCCAACTGAGGTTTGCTTCTGAACTTCTTACCACTTGGACTAGAAGAAAGATAATGTTAATTGTACCAAAGACAGTAATATTTACCCTAGATCTCTACATGAACCTTTCCTTCATGCCTTCCTTTCCGTTCCCAATTGTTACCATGTGACAATTTTACATACCTTTATTTTTTTCAAAGAAATATTAAAAGTTTTAAAGAAACTTCGTAACTTCCTATAAAAAGAGATAATGTGTCACCTAACATAACAGCCCACTAGGTACAGCCCTGGAACACATAACAGATGTTAATAGAGATTATCCCAGTGGTCACTCACTCAGCAATCATTAACAGAATCCCAACACTAACTGCAAGTACAGCACTTCAGATGTCGCCAATCTTACACATTTTCCAAAGTGATTTTCAAAATGCTGTTTTTTCTGTAAGTATTAATATACATAATGCCAACAGCAATCAGAAAGAACGTCACATTCTTTTGAAGTCAACAACTTTTGTTGAAAACACTTACACACACCTGGAATCCATATAATGTTTGGGCGACTGATTTGAACTCATAACGTTTACAATAGAAAAAAATTATTAAAATTAATAAATTGTGACAATCTTTAAATGCTCCCTAATGTAATTATCAAAAGGAAAAAACTAAGGCAAACATTTGCAAATGTGTTTGTACAATGTTGACATAACTTTTGTTAGCCTAACTCCACCTCAGAGAAGTGTATCAAGAATAACTTACCTCTTGTTAAGAAATAGTGTCGAAGCTGGAAAACTACAAAAGTGCCAGAATTATAAACATGGCTAAACTAAGCTAGTCTTTCCTAAAAAATTTTTTCCCACGTGGCACTGATTTGTAAGAAAGATTTACAGGAAGAATGCCCCAAAGTCTTATCTAATTTTCTGAGCCAAATGTGCTAAAATACATTTCAGTGTGATGTGTCACCAGCAGAGAATTGTGAGAATTCTAGAATACCTCTCAAAGAAGCCAACATGTCATATTTAGAACTTAAGCTTTTACCAACTGACCACAATAACAGAAAAATAATTCAACCGGAAGACAAAATAGAAAAGGCTGGAAAACCAAGCAATTTACATTTTCCTGGAACAGCAAAACTTCTTTTTGGGTCAAATCCAAATTAACACACCCTACTCTGTAACACAAATTCCATGGTCTTCTGCCACCACAAGACTTCAAGATCGTATCAACATTCTTTTTCCACAATCACACAGTGTAACTGTTCCTGAAACACAATTCAAGGTATAGAATTCAGCCTCCAGAAGAAGCAACAACCAGTTAAGACCAGAATGTAACAGAATAAAAAGAAGCAGGCAACAAACAGAACATAGCAGATGAAAGAATATAGGATTGTGTATAGGCAAACCTCAACTCCCATTCTAACCCATATTTCCAAATATGCTGAGCATCACAAAAGAAAATAGCACATAATCCTCAATATTGTCCAAAACTTGAATCATCTCTGCCCACTGCAAACTTCCACCCCCAAACCATCACTGTCTACCTAGCAACCAATCTTCAAACTAGAAGGCCACATCACAATGTTCAATGCCCCATCCCTCAGCCACACATCCAATACCAAGTTCTAAATGTTCAGAGACTCCTCAACACTGACAAAATTGCTTTGCCTCCTCAATGAAACATCAAAAACATTCAATCTGTTTAGATTTATTTTTTCCTGACTTTTTCCCAACAACCTGGAAGATACCCCACATTCTAAACTCAATGTCACCAAAATACTCCATGCACCTTTTTTTGACTTCCGGCCATGTCTTTGCAGGTGGAAGGATGAGCATAAGCAATATCCTGTCTGTCGCGGAACTGTTAACTCCTCCAAGCCCAGCTAAAATGTCACTGCATTTATGAAGTTGTCTGTGATTCCCCCAGCCCACTTAGAAATAATTCTACTAACCCTGCAATTCTACTTCATTACAATTCTATACATCCCCTTGATGAGTCAAAACAACCAGACATTACAGTGTCCCTTTTTAAAATCCTCAAACATAATTTATATAAGCTAGCATGGAACAAGGCAACTTCTGAGTGAAAAAAAAAATCCTTATTAGATGCATAGTTAAGAATAAGGTTTTCATTTGCAGACACAATGAAACAGAAATTCTATGCTTACTTAAAAGTTATATTGCCTGGAATTTTAAAAATTGAACCGGAATATATTTTCATAATTAATCTTATGCTACATAAAAAATGAAGTATTACTACAAGACCCAAATTAATGAAAAATTGGTAGATTACTATTTTGTCACAGTATATTACATTTAATTTTAATTAAGCTAGAACAGCCACACTGTCCTTATAATCAGATATGCCAGTTACTGGTGAACAAGATTCTGATAAACGATTTGATACACAGACCTAAGACCCTGCACTGCACAGCTGCAGACACTGTTCATACAACACTGCTGCCTTCAGGACAGTGGTACAAGCCGCGTTCTTCTCACTGCTCTAGCTTGTGCTTGGTGCTTTGAGGAAAGTCAACCTGGCTGCCCCAGGGGGACTTTAAGACCAGGAGCTGAAGGCAAGCATATTAGCAGGAAGAGGCCCACGGGAATGGGTCAGCAGAATTCTGCCTGTCAGGTACAGACCACCTGCACACTGGCAAGACGGCCCTGGAGTGGCCGAGGAAGTCAGTGCTAGGTGAACAGAAAGACCCCACGCCACTAAGGCTCCCGTCCTGCCCAAAGTGACTAAGTTATCATCTGTCCGCCCTCTAAGATGGCTGCTGTTAGGTAACAGTCTCCGGCACACCAGGGCTTAACATGACTAAGCTTTTATTCTAAAAGCACCAGACTGTAACTTAGGGAAATTACTTTTTTTTTAAACTCTAGTAGACTAGTGAAGGATATTAGTCATTTTCAGTTTTCTCTGCCCAAAGTGATTACTTCTAATCCCAGTAATGAAATACTAATATTTCACTTTCAACCACAAAAAAATTCCCTACCAACTGCCCCCTAGATCTGCCTACCCTGCAGCAACCTGTGATCTCACCTTTAACTTGTCCTCCCTGCTAAATACCGTGAAAAAAGTACCTAATAAATGAAAATCAAAAGCATGAGTTATATTTTTCCAGTTCTCATAAGAGCATTTCATCACTTGAACTATGTCTCTGCCTGCTTTCATTTTGATTAAACTGTTTAAAGCACTTCTTAAATGCAACTCTACCTTAGAGGTTTCTAGTTATAGTTTACCAAAAAGAAAGAGATTTCATTTGGCATCTGACTTTCAAATCTACAAAAAATTTAATTGTGACACCAGAAGGACCTAAGTGACAGTCTCCTTACCTTAGTGGCATTTGCATTTTGTCACTCTGTCAACTCATCTCTAATCAGCATTACCTGAGCTAGACCACTGCACACTCACTCCCTGCCAGTTTACCATGAGAAGATGGACTCTTCTGCAGACCTGCCGCTGCCATGTGAACCCGCACTCTGAAAGCGAGTAACACGGCAGAATGTATTTTTTCAAGTTACTTTGGTAACACGGATAATCATGACGCTTAGTCAAACCATTATGAAACGAGAGATGTGAGCAGACACGAGTATATCTTCACACCAGTTTGACACCAATTTCTGGGACAGCAGCACCCAGGATGGGGTGAGATGGACAGGCCTGCGAGCGGCAAGGTGCCCTGTGGACGGCAGGTGGTCAGCCGCGTGGTTCAAGGGCAAGTGCCGAGGTGCTTCACGCTCCAACGACGTCGGGAAGTGCTTTGCGGGGAATAATAAAAATGCCACAAACTACAGCACTAGAGAAGTCTGAGAATGAAGAAACATCAACTTCCTATTTTTCTTCTCTCCAAGTGTTAAAGTTACTTGTTACTTACAAGAGTTAAGTACTGAAAGAAAGATTTCTCTAACTTTAAATAACAATTATCTCCAGAAATCAAATGTTAGCCAAGACTAGAAATCTGAAATTAAAATTAGCTTTCCATACCTAGGTACAAAACATACAATCAGAAAACTGCCAAACCAATTAATTCAAAGAACATATCTCATTTTTTCAAAACTACACAACACACACACAAGAAAATCTATCTAAAAGTCAGCGCCCACTCCCACTCGTTTTTCCCCAAACTCTAAATGGAGGCCTTTCCTAAAATGAACCATCCTCAGCCCTCTATATTTGTGCCAGGTAGAATTTACCTACTCTCATCCACTTCTACCTTCCATCTCTGATCAGTTACTAAATCCAATTCCTTCACAATCACCTTCGAATCCATCCTTCCTTTCCATTCCCACTGCCTAAGTCAAGTCTGTATCACCTCAGGACTAAATTACAAAAGGCTGATTTTCTACTTGCTAGTCTCTGCATCCTAAACTATCCTAAACTTCCTGAAACACCACTGTGACCACAGCTCCAGTTTAAAAGCCCTCAACGGACTTCAACCCATTAGCAAAAGGGAGTCAGACATCTTAGCCCTGCAGTTAGATTCTTTTTCATCTAGTCTTCTCTTAACCTTTCAACCCTACTTTCCACTCCTCTTACCAAGTGACCTTCACCCCAGCCATACCGGTTTATTCAAGTCTGAATAAACAGGCTGAATGGTTTCCCTCTTCAGCCCGATGCAAACCACATCTTTCACCTGGTCCAGTATGTACGTCTCCACCTCAGTACCCAAGAGCCCAGAAATACCAATCTGTCTCACACCTCTTCCATAAGCCTGAGCAGAAAGAAGTAATAGGAACCAGGCCAATAACCACGAACTGCCTGTTGGCATCTCTTGTATTCTAGTTTGAAACACTGAGTTTTGTATAATTGCAAAACGTCTACAAGTTTCAATCCTATCTTCACAAATAGCATATTAAAGTGTAGTTATTCACAAATGAAATGACAGGATGTCAGATATGCTTCAAAGTAATGAGTCAGGGGTCGTAGATCTGGGTATGGATGAAATGAGACTGACAACTGTTGAACTGGATACTTGGCAGTTTTTACATAATTCTCTCTACTTTTCCATATGTTTCAAATGTTCTATAATAAAATATTTAAACATTAAAGGATGCAAGCTG